ATTATCTTGATGTGTGTTACTAGCTTTATTTCATTTTGGTCAAAAAGAAAACAAGAAATTATTTCAAATTTCCTGTATTTCCTAAGTCTTATTTTGTGTCCTTTCATACTCCTTTCAATAGAATTTTCCCATGACTGCTGAGAATAATAGTCTGCAGTATTTCTTTGGAATGTACTATAGATAATTTTTAGGTTTATTTTATTTGATTTATAATATTATTTAACTCAAATATTTTCCTTTTTTTTTTTTTCTTTCAAGACAGGGTTTTTTCTGTGCAGCCTTGCCTGCCCTGAACTTACTTTGTAGCCCAGGCTGGCCTCAAAATCACAGAGATCTGTCTGTCTTTCCCAGTGTAGGGATTATGGTTGTGAACCGCTGTGCTCGGCTCTTGATTTTTTTTTTAAATAGAATATCTGTCTTTTGGCAACAGTGCAATATTAAAATATTATTATTTTGTTGGGGTTAACCCATGTCTAAATCCAGTAATGTTTCTTTTCTGGAATTAGGTATACTTGTGTTGGTGATATGTGTTTAGAGTTTTCATTCCTTAATGAAGTGATTAACCTCACTTTTGATCAAAGAAAATTTCGAATAGGTTTCATCTAAGTGAGGTATTGTTCACACAAGGTCTTGTCTCAGTGAGGTACCATCTCAGTGGGGTACCAATCATCTCAGCGAGGCAGCACCTCAGCCAGGCACCTTCTCATCAGTGGGATATCTTCTCAGGGTGCTATCCTCTCAGTGAGGTTTAGAGCAGCACTTTTGGGATAAAATTTCTGACATGCCTGGGCAGACTTGGGGACGTAGTTAGCACTTCACTCCTTGAGGCTTTGTCTGATTTGGCAGTGTTGTGTTGGGAAGCGGAAGGTAGTAGCCATTACTACTGCCTCCCACTCACCTCAGTAGCACCCTCACAAGGGACTTGCATCTGCCTCTCAGTCTGGCCCTCGTGCTTTGCACCCACGACTTTGTAGAGGGCTTTAGTTCTTTGGTTCCAGCTTCTTTCTGCCACAGTTCTTCCCTGGTTGGCTTCTCGGTACCAGTGTATGTGAGACAGAAAATTGTAAGCCTTGTGGTGGTTTCTACTGACTTTACTGAACCCTCTTCTCTTTCCAATGTTTCTCGCTTGCTAAGCTTTACTGCCAATCATATACCCAGACCTTTGGTGGTCCAGGTAACTGTTCTTGAGGGGCTGGTATGCATGAAGGGAAATGCTTTTGGTCAAGGTTTCCGGTCATCTTGCCAGAGCCATTTGCTGTAGCTGGACACATTAGGTAGGTTAGAACTGCTCTCATTTTCCTCCATGTGGAGATCTAACCTAACCCCCCCCCAAAAAAAAAGGTGGTTTATAGCTATTGTCTGCTACAGTAATGGAGATGGTTGTGCATTACCCATAATGTTTCATTTGATCTAGTCACATCTGAGGCTTCTCATTGTTATGCCATCCAGAAGTCCAAGCCATGTTATTGTGTCACAGTACATAAAATAATGCTTACATGGAGGAGGCCAACATTATACTGACCTCAAGCCGCCTTCCATTGAGGAGGACATCTTGCTTTGCTCTCAAGTCTCCTGGCTGCCCTTGTTCTGCCCTTCTTATGCACAAGGCTAAGAGTTCCTGAGTGTTGAATTGAGATTTTCATAAGGTTTCTGTGAGACTGAGGAGATTAGGTGAACTCTCGTGGGGTTCACCTTCGGGAACATCCCGAAGTCTCTTGGGCCAGCTTCTGGGCTAGCGGGTCCCCAGCGGTGCCAGAGGGATATCCTCTGCTCTCTAGAAGAGACTGACGTTCTAGGTCTAATTTTGCATTCATAAACCTTGAATGTTAATGTGCCCTGATCAGACCTGATTTGGATCTCTCTGGAAAATTAATTGTATAGCTAGAACTCGGGAAGAAAGAACCTCTGTGGTGCTTATTTAGGGCATTACCTGCCAGGATTGAGTGTGGAATAGTTCAAATACTTTAAGCCAAGATTTTTATTTATTTGGTTCAGTTTAATAAACATTTACTGTGTGATTATTATGGGAACAAAAGAAAGACTAGGAGCTGTTCCCAACATAATCCACGCCCTCAATAAACTCACATTGTTGAAGAACTAACATAGACGGAAGGAGAATGGGGACAGTATTCAGATGTCATCGATCAGTGAAAATGTGACCACAGAGAGATGTTAGTATAACTAATTGGATAACAAATTCATGCCTCAAAATGAAAATTAATAAAAGATTAATTACTAAAACATAAATAGCCAAAAGGGTCTTTATTTTACAAAAAGTAAATTAAAATTGGTTCTTTTGAAGTTTGATAACTAATTTTTGTACATTAATAGAACCAGAACCTAAGATCTTGACAAAATTGAGGCATTGAGTCATAAGGTCCCTTTGTCCCTTTGTCTCCTTTATAAGTGATAGATAAAATCATCCCTTCAGTTTTCATCTGTTGTGATTAATCTTCCTTGTCAGGTTACTTAGATTAAGAAGTGCCAGAGACTAGTAATGCAGGCCACTGGGTGTGTCTGAGGACATTTCCAGGGACAATTAACTGAGGAGAAGGAGACCTACCTGAATGTGGGCAGTGCCACTCCATAGGCTGGGGGCTATGGATGGACTGGAAAGGAAAAAGGAGAAAGCCATCATTTGTTGTCTGCTTCCTGCATACATAAGATGACCAGCTTCACTTCTCGACTTTCTCTGCCATGGTTCTCTGCTTTATCTGAGTGCAGAAACAGTGAAGGTGGCTGACAACTGATTGAAACTTTTGAGGCCATAAGTTCATCTAGAATTTTAGTTGTTCTGTCATTTTTTTTTGTCACAGTGATGGTAACACATAGCCTGTACTATATAAGGAGTACCAATTATTTTGCAAACTAAAACATTGATAGAAAATAATTCAGGAACAAAAAATCTATAGATTGCAACATATTTTGTATATAAGTCTACACATACCCAGAGAGAGAGAGAGAGAGAATATTTTTGCCTTACTGTAATTAAAGTAAAATAACTTACAACAATTGTAATTTTGTGACTTACATTTGCATAAAACCCAGCCTATCTAAGTAGGCAATATGCTTTTGGAAAACTGTGTGGCAATGCCTTTTAGGAAACAAATAAATTATACAGTTTGGCTTTTAATGCACACTTTTGAAAAAAAATAACCCAGGAAATATTCACAGTAATGATGAGCAGCAGATCTAATGCCAGTAGAAGGGTTCTGGCTTTACTGTGGTGTATCAAAAGAGTGGCATGGTAAGTCCACAGACACTGTAACTGCTCTGGGAGAGTTTTCCTGCTTCTTCCTCTGCTATGCCAGCTACCAATGAATTTGTCTGCCTGCATCAATGTATTTATGAATCTGTATCTGTTTCTACATCTATATGTCATCAATGTTTAAGGTTAAAGAAAATGTAAGTCAATTTGTCTTATGGTAATGGAAGTTGTTCAGTAACATATATTAGTTTGGCAAGTGAATATGTTTATGTGTAATTTTGTTTTTAATTAATATTTCCCTTAAGCAACATTTACAATGAAATTTCCAAGCCAGAAGGATTTGGTTTACCTAGATGACCTTCCAGCAATCATCTTCTGTACAATTTCCTTCCTTTGAAGGCTATTAGAGATTGGGACTTACTTTTAGGCAATGCCAAAGATTAGATAGCAAAGGTTCTAGGTCAGTCTCTCTTTTTATTGCATTATGTGGATCTCTATTATGTCAGATATCGTTAAAATGCAAATAGCTGTAATCTGGAACTCCTTTGAGATGGACAGACTCAGATGAGACTGTTATTCATACAAATCAGGAAAATTAGTTAACAAGCTAAGGAGTCTGGGAGAATGATCTTTTCTAGTCAGATTCCAGAAACCTCAGCCCAGCTGACACCTGGAATTTTTTCCCTCGGAGACACTGAAGTGGTGTGTGTATGTGTGTATGTGTTTGTGTTGTTTTATGTATATATAAAGAGAAAGAGAGAGAATGAGAGGAAGGCAGGCAGGCAGGCAGGCAGGCAGAATTTTCTTGAGGAAAAACATTTCATAAGTGGATTTATTTGTAAGTGTCCAAGTTCATGGTAGTTGATTGTGCAAAATAGTAGCAAGCACATATAAGAAGTTTTAGCTATTTCATGAAAACCTTACCTTCATGTTATGTCAGCTGGCATAAGACAAATGAATATCTTTTTGTGACCCTATTCCTAAGTTTTTATTCATCTTTTTATATTTAAACAGTATTTCATTTTTGTTTGTTATCAGCATTCCTGTAAAGTAGCTTTTTCTCTTTTTAGTCCCGAGATAACTGTTCTAATTATCTGTTAATACTATGTCAGATGTCATTGTGTTTCTGAGTGCAGGGAACCAATGATCTCCCTGTTTGTTACTGTTTGTTACTGATTTGTTTGTTACTGATGCTTCATGTGGGAACTCTTAGAAAATGTGTCTTCCCTAGGAAAGAACCTTTCCTCCTGGCTCTGCCTGTCATTGGGCTGGATACTGGAATCTAAACCAACTGGTTTCTGTACAAGGACTTGAGTTGCATGTGTCGCTGCCATGTTGGATGAACTTTCAAAGCATCCCTTCATTACCAATTTTCCATGTAGATGGATTTCTCTCCTCTTTCCCCTATGACATGTGTTTGAGAGATTACCACCAGCCTACACTTTTAATCACGGCAGCCACTGCAGGCTAATTGAGGACCAAACATTGGTCAGGTACCTTTGTCTGCCCCCTACCAACTATGCTAACAGAGACAAAGGTGCCATGGCCAAGGACTAGGTCATCTTGCTGCAGGCTGTATGCAGGCAGAATGTGGGAATTTGGGCTGTCTTCTGGGTAGGTTTCTCTTCAGTACTCTATCAGTTACCAAGAATGTCTTGGAATTAGGAACACAGTCTTTTCTTTTCTTTTTTTTTTTGTATTTTTTATTTTATTAATTACACTTTATTCATTTTGTATCCCCCCATAAGCCCCTCCCTCCTCCCCTCCTGATCCCACCCTCCCTCCCCTTTCTGCATGCATGCTACTACCCAAGTCCACTGATAGGGGAGGTTCTCCTCTCTTTTCTGAACTTAGTCTATCAGTTCTCATCAAAAGTGGCTGCATTGTCCTCTACTGTGGCCTGGTAAGGCTGCTCCCCCCTCAGGGGGAGGTGATCAACAAGCAGGCCAATCAGATTATGTCAGAGGCAGTCCCTCTTTCCATTACTATGTAACCCACTTGGACACTGAACTGCCATGGGCTACATCTGTGCAGGGGTTCTAGGTTATCTCCACGAATAGTCCTTGGTTGGAGTATGAGTCTCTGGGAAGTTCCCTGTGTTCAAATTATCTTGTTCTGTTGCTCTCCTTGTGGGGTTCCTGTCCCCTCCAGCTCTTACTATTTCCCACTTCTTACATAAAATTCCATTCACTCTGCCCATCAGTTGTCCATCAGGCTCAGCATCTGCTTTGACAGTCTATACTGCAGAGGCTTTCAGAGGCCCTCTGTGGCAGGTCTTTTCAGTTTGCTTTTCTTTGTTGTTGTTGTTGTTGCTTTTTGAATTTTGACTACTGCAGACTAAAGTAACAAGATATTTTAAAAAATCCCTGTTAAGAAGCCGAATCCATAGTCTATTGAGTTTCCAGTCAGAAGTTTTTAATATTTGTCCAAGTTGGGAAGTGATACTTTCTTCTTTCCGTGCTCATTGCCTACAGTACAATGTTATAAATACAGTTAGACATTATATTGGCATGAATATTATTTTATAGAAGAAAATTACTATAAATTGTAGCATTTTTTTTTTCTTTTTGTAATGAGATACAGCAAAACCCTAAGACAAATGTTGACTTATGAGGTAATGAATTGCTGTTGCAGGGAACAAAAGCAACATTTATATTTACATCTTGTAAGTGAATGCTGAAAATAATTCTTTGTGGGTTTTATTAGTTGTTTTTTTTTTTTTTTTGGCAGGTAGTACTGAAAGTAGTGTAATGAGATACTTGATATCAGGAGTTCATTGTTTTTCAAAAACTTAACCACATATACTTTTTGTATATTAGTAGCCAACTTTGAGTCCAGGCAGAATCCCCAGTTTACTCATGAATTACCTGATTCATTGCTAAAGAGGGAAAATAACTTTGGCTTAAATTAGAAGGAAAAGGAGAGTTATAATGTAGTCATTAAAAAGCTATTTTCTCAGGTTTTATTTTCAAGCCACAAAGCCATGTGTAAGATTGGTTTGTGCTTCGGGTAGTTCTCTCTTCAGAAGCATGGTTACCTGGTACCTGTGAGGGGAAATGAGAGACTTGTTCATAGCCTGGCCCTCTCTGTGCATTTACAGTTCAGGCCCAGTGGCAAGGAGACCCACTGCCGGGAAGCCGTCTGTGGAGGCAGGAGGGCTTGGGAGGCCTGTGGAAAGCTTGGCTCTGATCATTGACTTTGGTGGTTACGTCTGGCAAGGAGCCCAACTTTCTGCATTGTTTGGTCTGAAGTGTTTCAAGTATGGTTAATTAGAAAGCCGTGTCGTGCATGTGTGGCTGCTGCTGCTCCAGGCATTGTGCTAAGTAGTTTGCATGCATTGTCTCATACTCCTTCCAGTATCCCAAGAGGTAGGTAGGCGTTTCCTGTATTGTTCGAGGAAGACAGGGGCTAAGGTGATATGGTGTTGGTGGGCTGCAGAAAAGGAACCTGTGCTCCTAACATGTGTGTTTTGCTTTCTCTCCCTGTGCCTGGTTAGAATTTTGGGAGGAGAGAGCAACAATCTGAATCACTACAATATGTGTCACACATATATGTCGCTAGTATATGCGGACCGCTGAGGCTAAGTTATTGAATGCCACTGAGGAAGTATGTGGTCTAGAGGGGAATCAATCAAGGACTGGGTGATTTGAAATGTGGGGAGTTCACAAATGAAAAGAGTAGGCAAAGGATGATCTGGTGGATAACAAAAGCATTCAGCGAAGGTGTGTGCCTGGGGAGTTGTTAGGGTTCTGTATTTTTTTCTAGCTACAGGGTAAAGCTCTCAAGGGAGTTGGTGGGGACAGTGATCAAGAGGTAAGCAGGAGTCAGCTGAGTTACAGACAGATCTAGAGGAAGAGCATGTGTGTACATGGCACCTCAAGAGCTTTTTGCTTCTGTTGGTTTGTCTTGCTCAACCTCACTGTGATAATTCTTGTTTTATTTGACTGTATTTTAAAAAATGGATGATGGATGAATAAAAACCTACCCACTAGGGTAAAGGTTAACCACTGAGCTCTTTTTTGTACTTGCTGGGAAAGGGAAAGATCAGTTTCTTCCCTTAGAGTCACATTGGGTATATCAAACCCCCTAGGACAGGCCTTGTGGTCAGGAGTAGTTGATTAATATATAACTGGACTCCACAGATTTCTGTTTGTTTGTTTGTTTGTGCTTTTATTTCATTACAGTTCTCTTCTTTTTTTCCTTTTGGATGTGGTTTTATTGGTTTTGGGTTTTGTTTTCTTCTTTTTGTTTTTTTGGTTGAATTCGGTTTTTGTTGAACTTAAAACAGGTGGGTAGGGAAGGGGAGACGATCTGGTGGGACTTGGGAGAGGGGAAGAAAATGATCAAAATATATTTGAATTTGAAAATTGTTTTTTAAAAATGAAAGCTACAGTAGTAGGTTGTGTGTGTGTGTGTGTGTGTGTGTGTGTGTGTGTGTGTGTGTGTGGTGAGGGTGGGGAGAGCCTCTCTTATTGCCCCTTGTTTTGTGCTCATGAGCATTGAGTCTCTATTTCAATAGGTCCCACTGAACCTTTTTGTACTAACGTACACACTTTATGATATGTACACCATTTTCTTCTTAAATTAAAACTGAAACATGTGTTTGAACCCTCCTAGTGTGTTTTGACCAGTCTGCATTTAATATAATCTTTGTCAACTCCCCCGTCCCATACCCTTCTTTGTTCTTCTGGGTTTCCTGCATGCTGGGTAAATATTTTACCACTGAGCTCTTCCCCTCTATGACCACAGTGCATCATTGTTGAATGTAATACTGGAAACATTGTTGGTTTTTTTTTTTTTTTTTTGTTAGGCATCTTAATAGGATGTTTGGTAGTGACACAGAGGTTGACATGATTGTAAGTGACTTGCTATTCCTCATTTTAGGGAATTAGCAAATCAAATCAACCATCTTTCCCAAATATACAATCACTAATAACTAATAATAATAATTTAGAGAAATTTTCATTGTATAAAAATTGTCTTTTGTATACAAGAGGGCCACTGATTTCTTTTTTTTTCTTTTTATTTATTTATTTTTCTTTTTTTAAATTTTTTATTAATTACACTTTATTCATTTTGTATCCCCCCATAAGCCCCTCCCTCCTCCCCTCCTGATCCCACCCTCCCTCCCCTTTCTGCATGCATGCCACTCCCCAAGTCCACTGATAGGGGAGGTTCTCCTCTCCTTTCTGATCTTAGTCTATCAGTTCTCATCAAAAGTGTCTGCATTGTCCTCTACTGTGGCCTGGTAAGGCTGCTCCCCCCTCAGGGGGAGGTGATCAAGGAGCAGGCCAATCAGATTATGTCAGAGGCAGTCCCTCTTTCCATTACTATGTAACCCACTTGGACACTGAAGTTGATTTTGTATCCAGCCACTTTGCTGAAGGTGTTTATTAGCTGAAGTAGTTCTCTGGTTGAATATTTGGGGTCACTCATGTATTATCATATCATCTGCAAATAGTGATATTTTGACTTAATCCTTTCCCATTTGTATCCCCTTGATCTCCTTTAGTTGTCTTATTGCTCTAGCTAGGACTTCAAGTACTATGTTGAAGAGATATGGAGAGAGTGGGCAGCCTTACCTTGTTCCTGATTTCAGTGGGATTGCTTTAAGTTTCTCTTCATTTAGTTTGATGTTGACTATAGGGCTTGCTGTCTATCGCCTTTACTATGTTTAGATATGTGCCTTGTAAGTCCTGATCTTTCCAGGACTTTAAACATAAATGAATGTTGGATTTTATCAAATGCTTTTTCAGCATCTAAGGAGATTAGCTGGCTAGGGTAACTAAAGTGCTGGGCAGAACCCCTTCGCAAAGAATTTATGGATGACACCAGCCGCTCTATTATCCGAAACGCCAAAGGCCCCCATTCAAGAGGTTGATGTGCTTACCCTATTGGAGTCAGAAAGAGAAGCTAGGAGGTTGCGCTGATCTTGCTGCCGGGTCCTGGATATCCACCACTTGACTCATGGGATCACCTGCAACTGTTAAATAAAGCATTGTAATTATATAAAAATATAAAAAATTAACAGTATCCTATTCTTTACAGAGCTTTTCAAAGTTTCGTGAGGTCCCATTTATTAATTGTTGATCTTAGAGACTGAGCTATTGCTATTCTGTTCAGGACATTTTCTCCTGTGCCAATGAGTTCAAGGCTCTTCCCTACTTTTTCTTCTAACAGATTTAGTGTCTGGTTTTATGTTGAGGTCTTTGATCCACTTGGACTTTAATTTTGTGCAGGGTGATAAATATGGATCTATTTGCATTTTTATACATGTAAACATCAGTTAGACCAGCACCATTTGTTGAAGATGCTGTCTTTTTTCCATTGTGTGGCTTTGCCTTGACAAAATAACAGCCTACAGACTGGTGAAAGATCTTCCCTAACCCTACATCCGACAGAGGGCTAATATTCAGAATATATAAAGAACTCAAGTAATTAAAACCAGCAAACCAAATAATCCATTAAAAATGGGATACAGAGCTAAATAGAGAATTCTCAACAGAGGAATATCGAACGGCAGAGAAACACTTAAAGAAATGTTCAACGTCCTTGGTCATCAGGGAAATGCAAATCAAAATGATGCAGAGATTCCATTTTACACCCATCAGAATGGCTAAGATAAAAACCTCAAGTGACAACACATGCTGGAGAGGATGTGAAGAAAGGGGAACATTCCTCTGTTACTGGTAGGAGCACAAACTTGTACTACCACTTTAGAAATCCATTTGGTACTTTCTCAGAAAATTGGGAATAGTGCTACCTCAATACCCAACCATACCACTCCTGGGCATATACCCAAAAGATGCTCCACCATTCAGTAAAGGCATTTGCTCAACTATGCTCATAGCAGCTTTAATTGTAATAGCCAGAAACTGGAAACAAATTAGATGTCTGTCAACTGAGGAATGAATACAGAAATTGTGGTACATTTATACAATGGAATACTACTCAGCTATTAAAAACAAGGAAATCATGAAATTTGCAGGCAAATGGATGGAACTAGAAAAGATCATCCTGAGTGAGGTAACCCAGACCCAGAAAGACACACATGGTATATGCTTACTTATAAGTGGATATTAGCCTTATAATATAGGATAATCATACTAAAATCCACAGATCTAAAAAGCTAACTTGCAAGGAGGACCCTAGGAAGAATGCTTAATTCTCATTCAGAAGGGCAAACAGGATAGACACCTGAAGTGGTGGAAGAGAGGGAACAGGACAGGAGCCTACCATAGATGTCCTCTGAAAGACTCTACCTAGCAGAGGCTCGAAGAAGATGCAGAAAAGAATCACAGCCAAAGTTTGGGCAGAGTGCAGGAGTCTTATGGAAGAAGGGGCGGGTGTGTGGATAGAAGGACCCAGAGAGGACAGAAGTTCCACAAGGAGACCAACAAAGCAAAAAAATCTGGGCCCAGGGGTACTGGAGACACTGCTGCACCAACCAAGGACCATGCATGGAGAGGACCTAGAACCCCTGCTCAGATGTAGTCCATAGGCAGCTCAGTTTCCATATGGATCCCACAGAGCAGGGGCTGTCTCTGACATAAACTCAATTGCCTGCTCTTTTATCACTCCCCCCCTGGTGGACAGCCTTGCCAGGCCACAGAGGTTAGAAGATGCAGGCTCTTCTGATGAGACTTTATAGGAGGATCAGACTGTAGGGAAGAAGGACTCCCCCTTTTAGTGGATTAGGGGAGGAGGATGGGCAGGAAGAGGGAGAGAGGGTGCTACAATTGGAATATAAAGTGAATAAATTATAAAAAATAAAAAAATATAAAAATATTTTATATTTAAATAAATCAAGTTTTAAAATTCCTGGTTTAATGTCGTTTGCTCTAAGAAATAAATTTTTACATAAATGGACCCATGAAATAGATACTGTATCATACTGTTATCAGTTTGGGGATAGAGAGATGACTCTGCAGTTAAGAGCAGTGGACTCTTACAGAGACCCCCAGGCTGGAGTTTTATCACCCAGATAACAGCTCAAGACCATCAGTAACTGCAGTTCCAGGAGATTCAACAACCTCTTTGGTCCTCTGTGCACACCAGGCACACACAGGGTTCTACATACAGGCAGAACACACAGACAGGTTAAATAAAATAATATTTTTAATGAAATGAGATGATTAAGCCACTGTGAGGTTAAATACTTGCTTGGGTCCCACAAACTCACACTTAATCAAACTGACACAAGCTGAATGTAGTGACTCTGCCTCCTGACTGATCTTCCCAATTCTACAGTTATCAGGAGCTTTTAAATGAAGCATCATTTCCCATTTGATCTTATTACTGTTTCTTAGTATGTCATACTGTACAAATCTCTGAACTCCCAAATGTTGTGATGAATAGCTGTAGAACAGCACCAATCTTCCTGAGGCATTCTGTATTCAGTAAGAAAGAACATGTCAGCCTATCTTAAATAACACACCATTTTATAGAGAAAGACTTGACTCAATGCATTTGGCAATACACTTCCAAAATATACTTATGAATCCAGTTGAACAAAAGTTTTATATGACTTTCCTTAACAGTGTATGTTCCTAAAAACTATATTTAAAAATCACCCAATGGAAAGCCATTACTTTTAGTTTATTTGCAGTTTTTTTTTTTAATGTTACTAAGAATGCAGTTGCCAGGTTCCACTTAGTCACATTTTTTATAGTCTGGTCATTAAACTGCTAAAAAAAGTGTCTTAAATGGAAACATTGACATAAAACTCATTACCCTGGCTCCAACGCACTGCTATTGTAAGGCATCCATCTTTTAGTGTGTGTTTTCTTAAGATGCTATTGAAAAGGCACTGGAAAATTAATGTTGCAATGGAGAATTTGATTCTACGTATAAATTTTTAAACACTCCAACACAGTGAGTGTTTACTACATCAACGTGTTTATTTAGAATTAAAGTTTAAAATGAACTTTATGATATTTAAAACATTTTACAATTGGCAATATATTATTTCCACTCTCCATTTTCAAGCCTATCTCATTTCTTTGACAAAATATTTGTTAAGTATCTCAGTTCAGGATTACAACATTATGTACAATCATTGTCAATAAGAAAATACCAAGTTTTAGGGTCTTAAAGGGATCAATGGCTTTTATCTTTATAAATGAACTTTTGATATTTAAGTTATAAAGTGTTGTCTCCAAAGTGGTATAGTACCTAACGGTAGAAACAGTTGAGTCTAGAATTTCTTGTTTCTGCCATGATCATCATTGTCATCGTCATCTTTGCGATCATTGTTGGCATTCATAGTTCCCATAAAGAAAAGAAACTGTGGAAAGCTGACCCAATTGGGATGGGCTGGGAATACTGAAATATGTTCCAGTCAGAGAGGTCATTTTCTTTGTACATTTCTGTAATGTGTGTGAGTGTGTGGAAAATAGTAGAAATGAAAGGATTTCAGTAGTTGTTTGTAATTCTAGATAAACGTCTCCTTATCAGTAAGATTCATTAGATATTATTTTGTGGAACTACAAAAAAAAATGGATATTTTCCTTCTAGCTCTCAAGCTTCTACCAGATTTTAGGTGGTTTGCAGGTAAGAATCAAGGTGAGCTTGAATCTTTCCTGCTATGTAACTCTGGACAAGTTGTATTTCTGTATGCTTCAGTTTGTATACCTACCTAATGGAGATAATGATGGCATCTAGTTGGTAAGACTGCTGTGAGACTTAGCATAATATGGATTCAATAGGTCTTGTGACTGTGCTCAAACAGTGAATAGGTTCATGATTTGAGGTTTCAGGGCAGAATGGCAGAGCAGGTTTGCAAGCTTGGCTTTTCATCCTAGTTTTATGGCCCCATCCAAAGAGTGAACTCCCTACGGCCTTCTCTTATGAGAAAAGCTGGGTAATTATACATACCCTGTCGGCTTTTTGAAAGAAAGAGATTGCATATGTAAATGATCAAACATGGAGCCAGCCCCGATAGTAGGTGGTCAGTGAATGGGAGTCATAAATATCTGCAAAAGCAAACAAACAAAAAAACCCACAGTAATAATTAGATTGAGTGCTCAAGGACCCTTGTCATTACATAATAGCATGACTTTCTTCAATAACATAAAGAAAAAGTCAGTGTTCTACAGAGTCTCACAGAGTTAACTCCCAGCCAAAAGAAATACATTACGGAGTTAGTGGTTGTAAAGGTTATGTTCTATTTATACATAAGGAAGGTGTTGTGAGCCATGGAGCCCTGTTTAAATATTGTGTATGAGGGCTTTCTGGTTCCTTACCTTATAAAATGTCCACAGTTGATCGTCATCGTCATCGTCCTTGATACAAGATCTTGCTATGTAGCCCAGGCAGGCCTCAAACTTGCAGCAGTTATCCTGCCTCAGTCTTCTGATTGCTGAGATTGCAGTCATGCACCATCATGCCAGTTTGAAATAGCATCATTTGCAGTGTCTCTAAGTAAATTTGAACATGTATGAAATAGCCCTGAACTTTTAGGAAAAAAAAAAAAAACTTAGAAAGATCTCTAGGCTAGGCCATGTTTTTTCTTTTCAATGTTTTTTTCCCCCTCAAGCAATTCTCCTCTCCAGATTTCATACTTGATCTTAAAATCACAAAGGTATACAGTTAAGAGGAACTAGTCTAATACTTCAAATTTATACCTGAGGAAGCTTTGACCTGATGAGTTACGTGATTTTTCCCAAGGCCATACAGTAAATTAGTGGCAGAATCTTGGTCCCTTGTTGCCAAGTCCAGAACATTTAGGAAAAAAGAAATAAAAATTGGATCCAGGCAAAGTAGAAACCTTTTAGCTTAGAAGAGGTGGTATTGGGGCTCTAAAAAGCGAGCTACAGCACAAGGCTGGAAAGAGGTTAGTTGGCTGGTTTGAGGACCCTTACCTGAGGCAGAGGTTGGCTGTTGTGAAATTATTTGGATGGGGCCATGAAACTCCTATAAAGAATATTATATTGGTTATGCTCATATATTAGTTATCCAGCAATATTAGGTAGAGCCAGAAATGCAATCAGAGTGTGTTTCCCAGCCTCAGGGTAGGAGAGAACCTGAGTTCTGGGAGGTTGCTGCCAGCAAAAATGTCGGGAAGCTGCTTCTCTCTGGTGTGTCCACTTCCTGAATAGAGTAAATGTATAATGACCTAGATAGCATGTGACTGTGCTGATCAACAAGATGATTCATAAGATGAACTTAGCGTCATGTCTGGCACACACAGTAACCACTTAACTAATAGCCATTTGTGCAATTCCAGATGGTCCGTCTCTTTACAGTAAGAGATCTGTTAAGGGGAGATGAACCCTTCTCCTTTAAAAGGGACTGAAAAGATTTACTGGGCTTTCAGAGTTTTAGCTAAATCACCTACTATTTAGAATAAAGAGGACAGTAATAAATGACCTACAAGGATGTGAAAGTCAAGAGGAGATAAAAAAAAAAAGCCTCAGAACCTCAGAAGCAAAACAGTGTAGGACATGAAGTAATTAGTGTGAATGTATGTGTGTGCATGCATTCGTGTGTGTGCGTATGTCCATGCATGTGTGAGTGTGTGTGTGTGGTGCTAAGATCAAACCAAAGTGTATTTTAGCAACTACCACCACTGAGCTACACTGTAGCCTCAAAATTTTTATTAATAGCATATGTAGAGAATTTTCTAAGAATATAAACTATTTCGTTCTTGTGGATATCTTTCTCTCTTAATGATATCTGATTAACAAGATTTCATAGTTGCAAAAAAAAAAATAACCTTTCTGAATAATCAGCACTCCTATTTTTAAAAGCTGAGCTACAAGGGGATACACTAGAGTAAACTAATTTGCAACATTTTTTTTTTTTTGGCATTTATCCAAAGCCTTTTTTTAGGGAATAGTATAAAATTTAAAAAATGATTATCGCATGAACAGATAATATTGAAATGACATAGAATAGATGAGTTAATCTGTAAAATGAAGATGGGAGAAAATGAAGACTCATACCCACAGAGCCTTCTGGATGTCAAACTTGATGGTTGTGCCTGGACAGATCTGAAGAAAGACAAAGATGTTCTCAGATTGTTCTGTGGTGTTTTTTCTGAGAAAAATTAATTGGTGTGCTTTTTAAAGGAAATTCTGACTAAACTAATTTGAGAAATATCATTTTAAAAACTGTAGGCCTCTTTGAGATTGAAAATTCATGATTTCCTTGTTTTTTATTGCTGAGTAATATTCCGTTGTGTAGATGTACCACAATTTCTGTATCCATTCCTCAGTTGGGGGGCATCTGGGCTGTTTCCAGCTTCTGGCTATTACAAATATAGCTGCTACAAATATGGTTGAGCAAATGTCTTTATTGTGTACTTGAGCCTCTTTTGGATATATGCCTAGGAGTGGTATAGCTGGATCCTGAGGAAGCGCTATTCCTAGTTGTCTGAGAAAGCGCCAGATTGATTTCCAGAGTGGTTGAACCCAGAAAGGTAAAGAGGCTGGACATCAGAAGAAGAAGAAAACTGGGAACAAGTTAGGTGCCTGCCACAGAGGGCCTCTGAAAGGCTCTGCCCTGCAGACTATCAAAGAAGATACTGAGACTTATGGCCAATTGTTGGGCAGAGTGCAGGGAATCTTATAAAAGAAGTGGGAAATAGTAAGATCTGGAGAGGACAGGAGCTCTACAAGGAGAGCAACCGAACCAAAAAATCTGAGCACAGGGGTCTTTCCTGAGACTGATACTCCAACCAAGGACCATGCATGGAGATAACCTAGAACCCCTGCACAGATGTAGCCCATGGCAGTTCAGTATCCAAGTGGGTTCCATAGTAAGGGGAATAAGGACTGCCTCTGACATGAACTGATTGTCCTGCTCTTTGATCACCTCACCCTAATAGGGGAACAGCCTTACCAGGCCACAGAGGAAGACAATGCAGCCACTCCTGATGAGACCTAATAGACTAGGATCAGAAGGAAGGAAGAAGACCTCCCCTATCAGTGGATTTGGGGAGGGGCATGGGTGGAGAAGGAGAGGAAGGGAGGGATTCAGAGAGGAGGAAGGAGGGTGCTATAGGGGGGATACAAAGCGAATAAAGTGTAATTAATAAAAAATTAAAAATAAAAAAATTAAAAGAAAATTCATTAAGCCTTTTTTTTGTTTTGTTTTTGTTCTTTTCTCCTTCCTTCCTTCCTTCCTTCCTTCCTTCCTTCCTTCCTTCCTTCCTTCCTTCCTTCCTTCCTTCCTTCCTTTCTTTCTTTCTTTCTTTCTTTCTTTCTTTCTTTCTTTCTTTCTTTCCTTCTTTCTTTCGACAGGGCTTCTCTGATTTATCCCTGGCTGTCCTGGAACTCACTCTGTAGTCTAGGCTAGCCTTAAACTCAGAGATCTACCTGCCTGTCCCTCCTTAGTGCTGGGATTAAAGGTGTGTGCCACCACTGCCCTGTTAATCCTTTCGATTTTTGAAGAATGCAATTAAAATAGGCTGTTGAACTTGATTTCTCAAACTTCTTGGCGTGAAAAGAGGCATATTGTATGTTGTGTCTGTGGATTTGTGTGTCTAAGTGGAGGTGCTCAGAAAGAGACAATTCTATTTACTGTTTATGTCACTGTTTCACAGAAATGGTTTGGGAAAATGATAATCTAGTAAAAAATGATTTTTATTTTTTTATTTTTTTCCCTATAGAAAAAATTTTATTAAACAATGTTAAATTTTTGAACAAAGCATTATAGAAAAAAATATGAAGTTGACATAACTCTTTTAAGGAAACAGAATTCAGAATATGGATGAAAAGGTCTAGCCAAGCAAGATGAGCAAAAATAACACATATCATTACCTTTAAAAGCAACTCATTATTTCTACAAGAGTGTATGCAATCTCTCCCTGTGGTGTTTTTTTTTTGGTATGGTTTTTTTTTATGCTCTAAAAGTTCAGTATTTTTTTTCTTTTCATCTCTTTTTTTTATTAATTACACTTTATTCATTTTGTATCCCCTCATAAGCCCCTCCCTCCTCCCCTCCAGATCCCACCCTCCCTCCCCTCTCTGCATGCATGCCACTCCCCAAGTCCACTGATAAGGGAGGTTCTCCTCTTCTTTCTGATCTTAGTCTATCAGTTCTCATCAAAAGTGGCTGCATTGTCCTCTACTGTGGCCTGATAAGGCTGCTCCCCCCTCAGGGGGAGGTGATCAAGGAGCAGGCCAATCAGATTATGTCAGAGGCAGTCCCTCTTCCCATTACTATGTAACCCACTTGGACACTGAACTGCCATGGGCTACACCTGTGCAGGGGTTCCTGGTCATCTCCACGAATAGTCCTTGGTTGGAGTATGGGTCTCTGGGAAGTTCCCTGTGTTCAAATTATCTTGTTCTGTTGCTCTCCTTGTGGAGTTCCCGTCCCCTCCAGCTCTTACTATTTCCCACTTCTTACATAGAATTCCATTCACTCTGCCCATCAGTTGTCCATCAGGCTCAGCATCTGCTTTGACGGTCTATACTGCAGAAGCTTTCAGAGACCCTCTGTGGCAGGTTTCAAGGTTGTTTCCTGTTTTCTTCTGGCTTTCAGAGGCCCTTTGTAGCAGGTTCCGAGGTTGTTTCCTATTTTCTTTTTCTTCTGATGTCCATCCTCTTTGCCTTTCAGGATGGGGAAGGGACAACACATGCTGGAGAGGTTGTGGAGAAAGGGGAACCCTTCTCCACTGCTGGTGGGAATGTAAACTGGTACAACCACTCTGGAAATCAATCTGGCGCTTTCTCAGACAACTAGGAATAGCGCTTCCTCAAGATCCAGCCATACCACTCCTAGGCATATACCCAAAAGAGGCACAAGTACACAAAAAGGACATTTTCTCAACCATGTTTGTAGCAGCTTTATTTGTAATAGCCAGAAGCTGGAAACAACCCAGATGCCCCTCAACTGAAGAATGGATGCAGAAACTATGGTACATCTATACAATGGAGTATTACTCAGCAATGAAAAATAAGGAAATCATGAAATTTGCAGGTAAATGGTGGGACCTGGAAAGGATCATCCTGAGTGAGTTGTCCCAGAAGCAAAAAGATACGCATGGTATATACTCACTCATATAAACATACAATATAGAATAAATCCACTAAAATCTGTACATCTAAACAAACTAAGCAAAAGAGAGGACCCTAACTAAAATGTTCAATCCCCATCCAAAATGATTTTTAAATGGGTATAAATACACAGACCTTTCAAGTGCTGTGCCCTGTGGTAGGAAGACAGACCACAATTGCATAAGGTGCAGATTCAGCTTTCTGTGTTCCTTGCTTCCTCCAAAACTACTATTCACAAGAACCCTGGTGGCAAAGATCAAGGTGCCATCAGTTTTGAGGCCATTACTTCATCCTTACCTCTGCTTCTTCTAGTATTTCATCTCTGTCATTTTTCTGGGAATCTCTAACTTTTTAACTTTGTTTCTGTGTTAATGTGATTATCCCTGCCCCACCTCCTAAGGTGCATTCTTGAACCGATGAAACTGATTGATTCCTGACTAATGAGCCAGTTGGCTAGCAGTAGAATGGTAGCCTTACATAGTTGAACACTATATAGGGATGTTTCTTCAAGGGGATTCAGTAGAAATATTTATTAAACATATCTTATACTATTGGGATGAAGAGCTATATTTTGGGACGCAGGCAATGGTAAATTATTCTTAACTCATTTTGTTACTATATATAAAAATTCCTCAGTGATTTTCACATTTATTCATAGGACAGGAATCTCAGACAAACTAAAATATAACTATTTCTCAACAGGCAAATAAATCCTAAAATAAACCAACATATCTTTGCTGCCCTTGGATGTTTTAGATAATGTGGTATGTTCATATGGTAAGAGGAGCAAGGCATAGAAGATCAGATATTTCCTCTTAAGTAGCTAACGAGATTAGAGACACTGATTTTTTTGTTTGTTTTCTGTTTTTCTTATTGATGGAACAGGGAGACTTGAATTTCTTTTCATGTTGTTTTGTAAGGTTTCTACAGATCCTGCTTTTCAGTTACTTTGGGAGACACAACTTTCTAATCCAA